GGAAATGACATCTCCCCTGCCCCCAGCCTTCTCCTCGCTGCAACATTCATCACCCACACTTCACACCCCTATAAGGCGTTGGTAAAACTATACTCTCATACATTCCCCTCTTTGCCTCCAAGGACAAAGTTCTTTGTCTCAAAAGATCCTAAGTGCACCACTCACTCTTTTTCCCTCATCAATTCTATGATTCACCTCATCTTTCATAGACCCATCCGCTGACACGTCCACTCCCAAATATCTGAATATGTTCACCTCCTCCATACTCTCTCCCTCCAATCTGATATTCAATCTTTCATCACCCTAATCTTTTTGTTATCCCCATAACCTTACTCTTTCCCGTATTCACCTTTAATTTTCTTCTTTTGCCACCCTACCAAATTCATCCACCAATCTCTGAAAAATTTCTTCAGAATCTCCCAAGAGCACAGTGTCATCAGCAAAAGAGCAGCTGTGACAACTCCCACTTTGTGTGTGATTCTTTATCTTTTAACTCCACGCCTCTTGCCAAAGACCCTCGCATTTACTTCTCTTACAACCCCCTCTATAATATATTAAAAACCACGGTGACATCACACATCCTTGTCTAAGGCCTACTTTTTACTGGGAAAAAAATTTCCCTCTTTTCCCACATACTCTAACTTGAGCCTCACTATCCTCGTAAAAACTCTTTACTGCTTTCAGTAACCTACCTCCTACACCATTTCACTGCAACATCTGCCACATTGCCCCCCCATCCACCCTGTCATATGCCTTTTTCCAAATCCATTAAATGCCACAAAGACCTCTTTTTGCTTATCTAAATCTGTTCACTTATATGTTTCACTGTAAACACTGGTCCACACACCCCTCCTTTCCTAAAGCCTCCTTGTTCATCTTTCTATCCTATTCTCCGTCTTACTCTTAATTCTTTCAATTTATAACTCTACCATACACTTTACCAGGTACACTCAAAGACTTATCCCCCTATAATTTTTGCACCTCTTTTATCCCTTTGCTTTATACAAAGGAACTTGGGAAAGCTCTCTGCCAAATCCCTAGGTACCTTACCCTCTTCCATACATTTATTAAATAATTGCACCAACCAAATCCAAAACTATATTCCCCACCTGCTTTTAACATTTCTATCTTTATCCCTCAATCCCGGGTGCCTTACCCCCTTTATTTTACCTACTGCCTCACGAACTTCCCCCACACTCCACAATGGCTCTTCCTCACTCCTACAAGATGTTATTCCTCCTTGCCCTATACACGAAATCACAGCTTCCCTATCTTCATCAACATTTAACAATTCCTCAAATATTCCTTCCATCTTCCCAATACCTCTAACTCTCCATTTAATAAACTCTCCTCTCCTATTTTTAACTGACAAATCCATTTGTTCTCTAGGCTTTCTTAACTTGTTAATCTCACTCCAAAACTTTTTCTTATTTTCAACAAAATTTGTTGATAACATCTCACCCACTCTCTCATTTGCTCTCTTTTTAAATTGCTTCACCACTCTCTTAACTTCTCTCTTTTCTCCATATACTCTTCCCTCCTTGCATCACTTCTACTTTGTAAAAACTTCTCATATGCTAACTTTTTCTCCCTTACTACTCTCTTTACATCATCATTCCACCAATCGCTCCTCTTCCCTCCTGCACCCACTTTCCTGAACCACAAACTTCTGCTGAACACTCTAACACTACATTTTTAAACCTACCCCATACCTCTTCGACCCCATTGCCTATGCTCTCATTAGCCCATCTATCCTCCAATAGCTGTTTATATCTTACCCTAACTGCCTCCTCTTTTAGTTTATAAACCTTCACCTCTCTCTTCCCTGATGCTTCTATTCTCCTTGTATCCCATCTACCTTTTACTCTCAGTGTAGCTACAACTAGAAAGTGATCATTATTTGTTCATCATTTGTTCATTATTTGTTCATTATTTGCTATTAAACTACAGTATAAATAATGTAAACACATTCATGACTGCATATTAGAATGGCTATTTGGACAGGTATTGGACGGTGACATCAGCAAAGAATCAAACATTTCTGCTACTGCTAATAATAACAACAATAATAATAATTATAAAAATAATAATAATAATAATAATAATAATAATAATAAATGCGACAGAATTGAAGAAGGAAATTGTACAAAAATACGAGGGAGTGGTTGACACATTGTCAGTGTGGCTTTGTTTATGCTGGAGTGAACATTAGTCTCCCTGCTCTTCCAAACATTTCACAATAATTCATTGTGTTTTTGGTGGGTTGTTTGATTGAGTGTGACTGGAATGGTTGAGGAAGCGGTTGAGGGAGTGGTTTTAGGCAGCGGTTGAAGCAGTGGGTGAGGCAGCAGTTGAGGCAGTGGGTGAGGCAGTGGGTGAGGCCCGCGGTTGAAGCAGTGGGTGAAGGCAGCGGTTGAAGCAGTGGGTGAGGCAGCGGTTGAAGCAGTGGGTGAGGCAGCGGTTGAAGCAGTGGGTGAGGCAGCGGTTGAGGCAGTGGGTGAGGCAGCGGTTGAGGCACTGGTAGAGGCAGCAGTTTAGGCAGGGGTTGAGGCAGCGGTTTAGGCAGGGGTTGAGGCAGCGGTTGAGGCAATGGTGGAGGCAGCAGTTGAGGCAGTGGTATTTAATAACATGTTATAAATAATAATAATACATATTATTAACATTTATTATTATTATTATTATTATTATTATTATTAGCATGTATGTTATTAAATACCACTGCCTCGCCACTGCCTCACCCCCTGCCTCAACGCTGTCTCACCCACTGCTCACCACTGCCTCGCCCACTGCCTCGTCCACTGCCTCGCCCACTGCCTCACCCACTACTCACCACTGCCTGCCACTGCCTCGCCCACTGCCTCACCCACTGCCTCAACCACTGCCTCAACTGCAGTCTCACCCACTGCCTCACCCACTGCCTCGTCCACTGCCTCGTCCACTGCCTCGCCCACTGCCTCGCCCACTGCCTCAACCACTGCCTCAACCACTGCCTCAACTGCTGTCTCAACCACTGCCTCACCCACTGCCTCACCCACTGCCTCAACCGCTGCCTCAACCGCTGCCTCGCCCACTGCCTCAACCACTGCCTCACCCACTGCCTCACCCACTGCCTTAACCGCTTCCTCAACCACTCCAGTCACACTCAATCTACAAGCACCAAACAATGAATTATTGTGAAATGTTTGGAAGAGCATGGAGACTAATGTTCACTCCAGCATAAACAAAGTCACACTGACAATGTGTCAACCACTCCCTCGTATTTTTGTACAATTTCCTTCTTCAATTCTATCGCATTTATTATTATTATTATTATTGTTATTATTAGCAGTAGCAGAAATGTTTGATTCTTTGCTGTGTTCAAGAGTAAACACATGATGTCACCGTCCAATACCTGGCCAAAAAGCCATTCCAATATGCAGTCATGAATGTGTTTACATTATTTATACTGTAGTTTAATAGCAAATAATGAACAAACAAAACACTCGCCACACTGAGTGGTGGGAGGGCTGGCTGCCAGTTGCGGGGGTCGGAGGGAGGGTAGTAGGGACTCGCAGGTGGCGGGAAACTTAAATATGATTTGGCGGCTGGGAATTCATGAATGTGTGAAGCCCGCGAAAGTTGAAAATGCGAATGTTGAGGAAGACCTGTATGTTTTTTATAGTTGTACGTATTTGTGATTTCTTGGTCTCACTTGATAGAATGGATGATATATTACAGACATAGAGATGATTTTGATTGGTTTTAGTATTGGAAATGGGTTGAAACTGAGCTCAAAGTAGCAGAAATGTTAAATTTTTGCCCACCCCCCCCAACACGCCAGCTGGTGGGTCTAATGTACGTTCACAAATGTGGTGATATTATTTATACAATTATTACAGTATTGCATAACAGCAAATCTTCTATTTTTTGGTTTGAATAAAAATTCATTATGTGAATAAAAAATCAAAATGGAATTCATTTGTAAAGCCTCAAAACGTAATTAATGAACAGAGAAAACGTTAGTTTAGTGCCAGGAATGCCTGCATTGTTTATTCTGGACCCTATTTTGAAATTAGAATACAATATTTTGAACTTTGCATTAAATTGGCCAAATTACCAATTTCCGATCACTTTGTTTTGTAGTTGAAACAGTCGACCTGATGATTTCTTGTGTTCAATCGATTGAATAGAAGTAATACTAATGAAATAGCTAAGAATTTGGTTGATTGGAGTAATATAATTGGCCTAAAATGGGAGTCAAAGTTGGTAAAATCGCCGATGCGTACATATCGCTGACACATCAAAATTTGCGAGAGCATAATTTCGTCAATTTTCCATCTAATTTCGTACTTTTTGTTTTATTACCTTCAGAAAAAGATTTTCTACCATTTCATAAGAAAAAATAACAAAATTATTTTTTGAAAATTCTTGGACACTGGTGTGCACTTTGAAATTTGGCCTTTGGACCCTGAAAGGGTTAAGCATTTTCAGTAACTTCTCACTATGTCATACACTGTACTCTCAATATACAGTGGACCCCCGGTTAACGATATTTTTTCACTCCAGAAGTATGTTCAGGTGTCAGTACTGACCGAATTTGTTCCCATAAGGAATATTGTGAAGTAGATTAGTCCATTTCAGACCCCCAAACATACACGTACAAACGCACTTACATAAATACACTTACATAATTGGTCGCATTCGGAGGTGATCCTTATGCTGGGGTCCACTGTAATTGTGATGTAAATGGTTCAAAAGTCGACAATTTGAAAAATGAGACACTTGTGCAAGATTTGGGAATCTTTACCGAGGAAATGTTTTGCCAGCCAGTGACTTCTTCAGTCCAATACAGAGAAGACTGAAGAAGTCACTTGCCGGCAAAACATTTCCTCAAAGATTCCCAAGTGCTGCATAAGTGTCTCATTCTTCATCTTAATATACTGTACACCACAGCCATACTGGCCAACCTTGAGTGAAGCCTTCTTTCAAAATTATATACATTCAATATGTTAAATTCTTACCGTGGTCTTTTTCCAGTATATGGGGGAGGGAAGAATATTTCACGCATATTCGGCCCAACATCAAGAGTGCTGTTGCTTATCATGTTATGAATTCTCTGCATTACTCTCAAGGACTCGATTGAATCAACAGTGCCAATGATGCATCTAAAGAGAAGCAAAAGTTATTTTAGAGGATATTATGAAAAGCATATTCTCTTATTTAGAAACAGTGCTAATATTTACATGTGAATTGTCAGAATTGATGCTCTTGTACAGAAAATTCTAAATTTTAAGATATAATATCAATTTCAAATCTTATTTTTCCAACAATGAATAACAGCTATTACTGTATGTAATTAAAAAGGATGCTTATTAGTGAGCACTGTAAGACAAAAACATTTTTTTAATAAAAAAAATTTTTCACCAAAGGGGGCCAATTTTAAGTTAAAACAACTAAAAAATTTTAAAAATTTCTATTTAAAAAAATTTTGGGCAAAACAAATTTCCTATTTAAATTTTTTTTTTTTCTGAAAAGAATTTTAGACCCCCCCAAAATACTCCTCCAAATAAAAACGAAAGCCCTTTTTGTTTTACAATGAGGGTAACCTTACTTTTTCTTCTATTGGGAAAATGCTTGAAAATTTAATTTTAAAATCCCCAAATGTCATTTTTTTAACCCAAAATTTTTTTTTTTTAAATTTTTTTTTTTTTTTTTTTTAACCCGGGGATGGAATAAAATCCCCCGTAACCAGCTTTTGAAAAGTAAAAAAAATTCCGGGAAAAGGGCCCTCCCCTTTTCCCAAAAACTAAAAAATAAAAAAAATTTAAGGGAAGCTGTTGGGGTTTTGGGCAAGATGAAAATAATTTATGTTATTGAAAAGAATGGAGTTGGTTTAATAAAAAAACTAAAGGGGGTAAAATTTTGGGGGAAAAATATTATCGGGGTTTCAAAAATTTTTAACAAAAAAATACCAAAATTTTTAATAAATAAAAAAGGGGCAAAAATGTTTTTTAAGGGGGGGTAAAATAAAATTGGATTAAAATTTATAAAACAAATGCCCTGAGAAGAAAATGGGGGGAAAAATTTTAAGTTGAGTGAATTTGGGGGTTTTGGGGAAAATTAAAAGGGGTTATTAAGTAAATTAAAAATTTTGGGGATTAGAAAAATTTGGGGGGGGGTAAATGTAAAGGGGGCCCCTTTAAATTTACTATTTTAAAAATTTTGGTAATAAGTTTTTTTATAAAAAAGAAAAATTTAAATTCAAATAGTAGAAAAAAAATTTTTTAAAAGTTTTATTTTTTGGGGAAAAAAGGTTAATAGCCCCAAATTGACATTTTTGGGGAACGAAAAATTTAATTTTATTTTATTTGGTACAGTTAATAAAAAATTTAAAAAAAGGGGGAAAAACTTAAGAGGGGGAAATTTTTCAAGGGGGGGAAATTCTTTAAAAAATTTATTCAAAAATTTTTAAAAAATTTGGGGGGAATTTTTTTTTCGTTAAAAATGGGGAAATTTTTTTAAAGGGGGGCAAAAAAGGGGTATGGTGCCGAATAAAGGGGTTTTAAAAAAAAAGTATTTAAAGGGGGTTTAAATAAAAGCAATTATAAGGGAAAAAATAAAATTTAAAAGGTCAAAAAGAATTAGGGGGAAAGAGACTAAAAATTTTTAAAAAAGAAAAAATTTTTTTTAAACAATTTAGAAAAAAAATTTTGAAAAAAAGAAAATTTTATGGGGGTTTTGGGAATTTAGTCAAATATTTGGCTTTTTTTTAAGGAAAACAGGATAATTTTAAAGCCCGGGGGGGGTAAATTTTTAAGGAAAAAAGGAATTTTGGGGGGGGTACGTACATTAGTAAAATAAAAGGGGAAACCCCTTTCAAAGGGGTTTTTAAAAAAGAAAAAAGGGGGGGGAAATAGGTTAGGGTTTTCTTTGTTTAAAAAGAAAAAAAAAACCTAATTAAAGATGTTTGTTTTAAATTGGGGAAGGGGAAAAAAATTTAAAAAATAAGAGTAAGTTTACAAACCGGGTGGGATTTAAATTTAAAAAATTGGTAAACAGGGGGTTGGTTTACCCAAAGGGGGTTTTTCAAGGGGGGGGGAAATTTAAAAAAGTTTTTTTAACTAATTAACTTTTAAATAACAGTAGGTTTTGGGGGAAAAAAGGTTTTGAAAGGGGGATAGGAAAAGGGAGATGTTGGGAAGAAATGGAAAGGTGGAATTTTTAATGTGAAAGGTTTTAATGGAAAGGGGGTTGGGGGTAAAGGAGGGAATTTCCCTTTGAAAAGTTCTTTAACAGGATGTGTAATGTAACCAGGGTTTTTATAATTTAAAAGGGGTTTTTGAAAGGAAGAAATGCTAGGGTGTTCGGGAGAGGGGGGGGAAAAAATTTTTTGGGGAATCAAATTAAAAAAAGGCCGTTATTTTTGTGGGTTTTTTAAAAAAAAAATTAAGGTTAGGGATGATTTTTGGAATGTGTGAAAAGGGAGGGAAAAAAAAAAAAAAGGGTGAGGGGGTTTTTTTAAAAAAAAAAATTGGAATAAAATTGGGAGGGGGATAGGAAGAAGTGAATTTTTAAAGATATTTGGGATTTGACGTGTGGGGGGATTTATGGGGGGGGGAAAATCAAGAAGAGGGGGAAAAAAAGGGGTGGTGGTGCGTTGGGGAATTGTGGAGTCAAAAAATTTTTCTAGGGAGGAAAAAGGGAAGTATAAAGATAGTATTCCCAACCCCTTTTTGGTTTAATTGGGGGAAAAAAGGGGGAAAAGGGGGGGGGGGGAAATTTTTTGGGCAATGTTGGTGAAAATAAAAATTTCGGGAGTGTGGGAAATAGGGAAAAAGGGTGAGTTAATAAAAAATATTTGTCAGAGGGCAGAAGGGGTGTTGGGTGGTTTTTGGGCATTTTAAAAAATGGATAAAGTAGAATACAGGAAAGCATATAAAACTATAGGGGAAGGGAAGGCGGGGGAGGGGGGTTCCTCGAAAAGGGGTTGGAGAGGGGGTAAAAGGGGGTTTTGTGGCAAGGGGGTTGGGCTTCCCCAAGCTGCGTGACGTGTTAGGGGTGAAATGGGGACGAAAGGGTTTTGGCACCCGCATCTGTTGGGGTGTGGCAGGTAAATTTCGTGAAGGGGTTTAGGAAACCCTTATTTTATATAGTCGGACTGAGCCTGGGGAAAAAGGGAAAACTGCCGCACTTTAAAGGAGGGATTTGGATATTAAGTTTGAAGGATATGTTGTGTTTTTTAGTGTAGCTTCTAGACTGTTGTATTTTTGAGCACCTCTGCAAAAACAGTGATAATGTGGATTGGTGAAAGGTTGAATAGATGAAAGTATTTTCTTTTTGGGATTTCTTTTTTTTTGGGTCACCCTGCCTTGGTGGGGGACGCCAACTTGTTGGAAAAAAAAAAAACTGCAAAAAAACTAAAATGAATTACAAAAATTTTTCTACATACAAAAAGGCTTGGACATACACAGGGATGTGGTGTGTTGATAGGGGTGAATGAGATGAATGGTTTTTTTGGGGCTTGACGAGCCGTGTGTGAGAGGGTAATATTTGTGAAGGGGAAACTGGTTACCAGACCCGAGTCCCGGAGGTGGGAAGTACAATGCCTGCACTTTAGATGAGTTTGGGAATTCATTTTGGGGTGAACTACACTGTCGTATCTAAACCCTTAAAAGACAGTGATTATGGTGAATGATGGTGAAAGTGTTGAATGAGGGAAAGCACTTTTCATTTTGAGTCACCCCCCTCAGGGGGAGAGGGGGAAGTGATAAAAAAAAAAAAAAAAAATTTCAATGTTTCAAATGAGTCTTACAATTTTCAGTGTGAAAAACTGTAGTAAAAAAACAATGCAGGGTTATAGTGATTTGCGTTCAATAAACCGGATATGGGTATCCCGGAAATTAAACTATCAAAGTAAAAAAAATGTAATAAACAAATAGAGATTAAAAGCAGCTTTACTATTGAAATGAAAGTGAGTACAGGCTTGAAGGAGAAGTTTTAAAAATAAAAGAAAGTAATAAACTTTTTGAAGAGAAGTTTAATAGAAAATGAAAATAAGTACAGCTTCCCTTTAAGGGAATTTAATATGATAAATAAATAGAGTAAAGGGTTTGAAGGAAGAAGTTTTTTATTGAAAATAAAAAAAACTTTTTAAAAGGGGCATGATTTTAATCGGTTTTTTTTTTTGTCTCTTTTAAGTAAGATAAGGGAAAAAAAAATGGGCAACAAGAAGAATGAAATTAAAATAAAAGGGGTTTTTAAAAAACGATTTTAAGCAAAAAAGGGGAGTGCAAAAAATAGTAGTGGGGGGGTTGAAAGGGGAGGGGGTTGGGGAAATTTTTAAAAAGAGTAATAAATTTGGGGCAAATTGGGGTTTAAATGGGAGGGGGGAGGAAAAGGGAGTGATGTTTGGGAAGAAAGAAAGGGTGTTTTTCAAGGAAAAAAGGTAGTTTTGAGGTTTTAAAAAAAATTTATAAAAACGGTATTGGGGAGTAAAAGAAGGTGAAGAGAGTTGGAGAGAGTGAAAAGGAAAAGAATGAAAAGAAAAGGGGAGGGATGCAAAAATTTTAAAAAAATAAAAAAAAAATTTGGAGTGAGTTAAAAAGTTGAAACCAGGAAAGAAAGGGGGATTAAAAAAAGAGGGAATTAGAGAGGGGGGAGGAAAATTTGGGTGGCGAGAAAATTTTAGGAACCTTTAAAATGTTAGGGGAAAGGGGAGGGGAAATTTTTTTTGAGGGAAAAATATACCTTTTAGGGGAAGAAAAGCAGTGTAAGTTGGGGGAGGACGTGAGGCTTAAAGTGAAAGAAAGGGGGTAAAGACTGGAACTATGGGAAATTATGGGACAGAAATTTTAAAAGCAGGGGGGGGATATTAATGGGAGGGGTTGGTAGTAATAAAGTATGAAAAGGGAAGGACCTAGGGATGGGTGGGGAGGTATGTTTTAAAAAGGGGGGGCAAAAGAGTTGGTAGAAATTATAGAGGAATGTTTATAGTAAAGGAAAAGATGGAGGTTAAATTGAAAGTTTTTAAAAATAGAAGTTGAATTTCGGAAGAAGAGGCCAGAGGGGTGGGATTTTAACAATGTTTAAAAAAAGCAAAAATTGAAAAATTTTAAAAAAGGTAGGGAAAAAAATTTTTTTGAAATTAAAAAGTTTTTTAAAAGCC